TGTACATGAAACGACTGGGTTTGCACCCTTTTATCTCATGTTTGGGCGTATTCCAAGGCTGCCAATCGACATTATGTTTCAGCATGTCCTTTGTGATGACAGAGTGGTCAGCCATCATGAGTTTGTCACCACACTGAGGAGAGACTTGAGCACAGCTGCTGAAATTGCCCGAAAGCACAGCCTCAGAGAACAGAACCGCCATACCATCCTTTACAATCGGAAGGTCAAAGGTGCACCCTTAGTAGTGGGAGATAGAGTTCTGCTGGCTAATCGTGCATTGAAAGGCATGAAGAAGGTTGCAGACAAATGGGACTCTGTTGTGTACGAAGTGCAGTCAGTGAGACCAGAGATTAATGTATACAGGATTAAGGATTCTCAAACTGGCAGAGAAAAAGTTGTGCACAGGAATCTGTTGCTTCCAGTGAGTTTCCTCTCTTGGGATGTTGATGAAGAGGAGTCTGTTTTGTCAAATCCCACTTGCGCTACTCGTGGCAGTCCTCTAGATGCTGCTCTGATGGAGAATGCCGATTCTGTTTCAAAGACATCAGAATGGTTGTTAAGAATGGATGATTCACAGGAAGATGATGAAAGGGATACCAACTGTGGAGCTTCTGATGTCCACATTGAAATGACTGCTTCAGAATGCTCTGAAATTGACCAACACAGTCTTGAACCTGTTCAAAGTACAAAGAACTTACCTGTTACTGAGTCACATGAGTCCTCAAGCTGTGTCAAAGTCCCTGAAAACAGAACTGTTTCTGTCATTTGCAATCAGCCCACTAGCACACACGCAAGCCACATAACCACTCGCTTAGGGAGACCAGTTAGACCTCCTGACAGACTGATTTGTGAAATTGATCAGCAAAGACTTGTAGAGAGTGATCCAAACAGTGTTGCACAAATAGCCTTTCAGGGCTCAAATTTTGTTGATTTGATAAAGAGCATATTTTCTTAGTACAATTGAGTCCAAATGTTCATTTATATTTAAGCCAATTGAGGTGTTGTGAGTTTAATTAAGAAGAGTTTTTTTTCTGAGAAGTCTGAGAAGTTTGAAAAAGGCATAAAAAAAAAAAGAAGAGCAGATATACATGGGTTACTTTTGGGAGCGTGTAGGCTGCACCTCCTGTAGTCTGTGTTAAGTGTGGGACTTGGTACCATTCCATACTTACACACTTCCTAGGAAGAGATTGACATTCTGACATACTGTAATGTAATGCTCTTACAAGCACATCTTTTTTTTCTTTCTGCAATCTATGTGGTTTTTCTCCTTCTTACATATACTGTTTATAGCCCAATTTCACAGAATTTAAGGGGGGTGTATGTAACGGAGTTAAAATAAGGGTTAAATTCATGGTTCAATTGGGAACACTTACCATTGGTTTTTACCTGCAATAGCGTCCATCACAGTAGGGGGCGTTGCTACGTAATTCACCAGCAGTTCTGAGAAGCCTCTCTGCTGGTAAGCTGCTTTGGTGATCGCTGGTTAATGAGTTATTAATTATCAGGCATTTGTGAAACGTTTAAACTCTGTTTATTTCACTTTAAGACACTGATATCACCAGAGCTGCAAACCAACTAAATCTTTGGTGCTGTGTTTGTCCCAGGTATGTTTAATTACTATTTTGTGATGTTCTGTGTTAGCCGTAGCACATATGCTACAAATTTCACGTGCTAGAATTATGTATTTATTCTGTTCTGTCGTTCCTTTTCTTAAAAAAGTGTTGATTATTGGTCACATAAGCTTACTGTTTATTTTCACTAAAGTTTGCTGTATTGAAATAGTGATTTGGATGAGAGATGAATAGAGGCAGTTTTATTTAAATTTCATGTATGTTTTATTTACATTTATAACCACTATACATCACAATGTATAAGTTTAGACAAAATGTAATGTACCAGCAGTTCTGAGAAGCCTCTCTGCTGACACTGATATCACCAGAGCTGCAAACCAACTAAATCTTTGGTGCTGTGTTTGTCCCAGGACAATAAAAGAAGTTTAAGTGACCACACCTACCTGACTCGCAGTATTCTTCAGCATCCCAGCGCCTACACACAGTCACATATATATATATATATATATATATATATGTATATATATATATGTATATATATATATGTATATATATATATGTATATATATATATGTATATATATATATGTATATATATATATGTATGTATATATATGTATGTATATATATATATGTATGTATATATATATATGTATATATATATATGTATATATATATATGTATATATATATATATATATATATATATGTGTATATATATATATATATATATATATATATATATATATATATATATATATACGCCCGGGACGTTTTGAACACGTCACCATTTTGCTCAGAAAACATATTTCTAAAAGGTGCTGTTGACTTGAAATTTTCTCTGGATATTTTTAACAACCAAATAAACATATATATGCAAATAAAACAACACTAATTTGTTTACAAATAAAGTTATGTGTATGAAATGACACAGGAAGAACGTATTGAACACATGAAGAAAGGGAGGTTTAGAAAGACAGTGGAAGCCCAGACAGCAGCTGAAATCTCTCAGTAGTTATTCAGTAACCCTCTGCCTGTCATCATGGTAAATTAATATTAGCTGTTTCTGTCCAACATCAACATTACCATGAGGATGAAGATGAAACCAGAGTGGCAGGACAATGACAATGTCTAAAACACAGCCAAGGAATCTCTTAAATGGGTTCAGAGAACGAAAATCAAGCTGTAGAATGGCACTTGATAATTATCTGACTTTAATCCAATATAAAATACAAATTAAAGATTAGATTTAGTAGACGAGACTCACAAAACCATCGCATGGTTTTACACTGTTCATTTTACACTGTTAAAGCCTGTAAAAAATCACACCTGAGCATGTGATTTCAGTCTCTATATGAGAGGCGTCTTTAAGCTGCCATCACCAAAAATGTATTTTATATAAAGTATTAAATACATTACAGTAGTTCAGTACTTTGTTCTTGTGTCATTTCATTGTTATTGTACATTTCACCAGCATGGCCCATGCCACACTTTAAGATAGACTTTACTGTAGGGATGTAGGGATTAAAGGGATGGTAGAAGAACAGTGGGATGAAGGAGACGAGGAGTAAGAGGATGACTGGTAAATAGGTAGGTTGATCGGGCGCCCTACTATGCCCAGAGACTCAGAGTGGGGGTACTGTCTCTGTAATAGTTTGGCAGAGTGATTGGACCCTCCGATTCAACCTACATGTAGGAGTGAAGAGGGTTCATGATTGTTAATGGGAACAAATAACAAGAAGAACAGTGCTAGAGGGATGGTCTTTCTTAAATCAGTTTAAGGGAGTGAGTGTCTAAGGTGTGGTTCTGCCGCTGAACCTTTATTAACAAGTGAACTCCATAAACAATTTTTCAGATTTCTTTTGTTATTTTTATGTTTGTATTTTTTGTGTTTTTCCGAAATTTGGTTCAATTCCATGTCAGCAGCTCTTTTAGAAATATTATTGCCAGGAAAAAAAAACATTACTCAATGTCCAATACTTATTTTACCAGGTGTATATAGCTTATAATGGCATGTTACTAGATTGCCTGCAAATGTGCATCTGTACCCCACTTTGTCCCGCAATCAGGAGAACAAATTGAAAATGTTTTTGAAAGTTTAAAAAAAAAATGTCTAAAGTACAGTTTTTATTTATAGAAAGTTGCTAGGCAACAGATGCACCCATATTTAAATGAGCAAGAAAACAATAGTGGATGCAGAAATGTATGCGGCCAATTTGACTATTTAATGTATACATACTCCAAACTATTTTGTGTTTTAATGTTTATTAAACAACATTGTCAGAATGAAATATACATTTATTTAGGAAAAGTCAGCGTTTTATAGTTATGTGATCCTAAACCCCAAAACCATACGGGTCATTAATTAGACATTTATAGTATACATCAACTAAAGCAGCTCCATATATAAGCTTTTCTTTAATGTACATATGGCCATATTTGGCTGTGAAGCAATTATTAGAAAATCTGCAATATGAGCTTAAAAATTGTTAATATTAGAAAGGTGTAAAGTTTTTTTTTTCCTAAATAAGTTCTTGTAAATGCACATTGCAACTCAGAAATTAAATATTAATGTATTTTCCTAATAGAACATGATCTTTACATGGAATTCAAAATTTGATATAATAAAATGACTTTTGGGGTGGCATGGTGGCTAAGTGGTTAGTCTCCTCACAGCAAGGTCGTTGGTTCAAGTCCCGGCAGGACCAGTTGGCATTTCTGTGTGGAGTTTGCATGTTCTCCTTGTGTTCATCTAGGTTTCCCCCACAGTCCAAAGACATGCGCTATAGGTGAATTGGATGAACTAAATTGGCTGTAGTGTATGTGTGTGTGTGTGTGTGTGTGTGTGTGTGTGTGTGAATGCGGGAGTGTATGGGTGTTTCTCAGGGCTGGGTTGCCACTGCAAGGGCATCTGCTGCGTGAAATATATGCCAGAATAGTTGCCAGTTCATTCCGCTGTGGCGATCCCTGATAATCAAGGACTAAGTTGAAAGAAAATGAATGAATGAAAATGACTTTTCCCATATATTTTTGCCTATTCCCACAAATATACCAGTGTAACTAAGGAGTATTTTGTGTTCCAAGGTCATATATAGCTTTTATTTGAACAAAGTTATTAAATAAAAAATAAAACAGTTCTAGTATTAATATAACCACTGAAAGTGTATCTTTAGGATCTGGCAACAAGAAGTAGCTATAGATTCTTCAAAACCTGAACAAGGGATTACAAGAACTAATTTTTTGCTCTCCATTTATTCTAGTCAAACCTTACTTTGTGGCCTTGTTAGGACACTGATATGATATTTGCTTCACCTGTAACTGGCAATAAGGTTGGGGTCATCAGTATACTTCCTGACCCCCAAACTTTATATAAGTGGTAAATATAATGAAAAAATCTACGTTCTAATGCCTTATACCCATCAAATAAATACCTTTGAAAAGTTGATACAATCCAGGAACAATGATAATGGCAATGGCGAGCAGTTTGCTGAATGTGAGGAAGATCTGAAGTCTGGCAGTCCAGCTTACGCTCATGCTGTTTAGATACATTACTATAGCTGCAAAGAAGAGAAAAATACTGTAACACGTTAAATACTGCACACATAAAACCAGGCTCTATTCACCCACTGTAATCAATCAGCATTGGCTCAAACTTACTGATTCCTATGGTGGTAGCCAGTTTAATTGCAATTTCAGGAACTCCACATGGCATGAAGATGGGCTCTAAAATGTAGCGGCCAAATGCCAGAGCGATCACAGCCAAACCTGCGGGTCTTCAAGATGAGAAAATGAGCTCTGAGCACTTAGTGTACGGCGCAGAACATCTTGTAATCACTCATAAAACACCAGTGTTCCAAAGTAAAGTAGAAGCAGTTATAAAACGGGGAAAAAATCATGATTGTGCTAGATCTTATGTTGCACTTGCTATCCCTGGTTGCTTTTGAGCATTCTGTTGATTATAAATAACTTACAGTTTAAAACCAGAAGTTTACATACACTCTAAAAAAAGGAACATAACCATTTAAAAAAAAAATCTCTGATGGTAAATCATAATAAACGTTTACTATTTTAGGTACATTAGCATTACCTATATGATTTACGTTTGCTAAATGCCAGAATAATGAGATTTTTATTTTATTTTTTTTATTTTTAGACAGTCAAAAGTAAACACCCATTCCTTCGTATTTATTTATTTATTTATTTTAGCTTCGCTTTAAACTGTATAACTTTGGTCAAGTGTTTTGTGCATCCTTCCACAAGCTTCTCACAATAGTTTGAAGGAATTTTGGCCCATTCTTCCTGACAGAATTCCTGAGTCAGATTTGTTGGCTGTCTTGCTCTCACAGGCTTTTTCAATTATGCCCACAATTTTTCTATAGGATTGAGTTCAGGGCTTTGTGATGGCCACTCCAAAACATTCACTTTGTTGTCCTTAAAGCTCATTTTATCTAATTTGGCAGTATGCTTAGGGTCATAGTCTGTTTGGAAGACCCATTTGGGGCCAAGTTTTAATTTCCTGGCTGATGTTGCTTCAGTATTTCTATATAATGTTCTTTCTTCATGATGCCATCTATGCTGTGAAGCATAGGGACCAGTCCCTCCAGCAGCAAAACAGCCTCACAACAGGATGCTGCCGCCCCCATACTTCACAGTTGGGATGGTGTTCCTAGGCTTGTACGCTTTCCCCTTTTGTCCTCCAAATGTAACACTGGCTATTATGCGCAAACAGTTTAATCTTAGTTCCATCAGACCACAGGACATGTCTCCAATATTATTCTCTTTCCCAGTGTAATTTAGCAAATTGTAATCTGGCTCTTTTGTTGATTCTGGCTTGTTGATTTTCTCATGTTGTCACACAAGGAAGCAGTGTGTTTGAGGTTTTCCTTGAATAGTATTCTACAGTTGTGCCTCCAGTTAACTCAAATGTTGTCAATTAGCCAATCAGAAACTTCCAAAACCTTGACACCATCATCTGAGCTTTTTCAGAGGCATAATAATCTTATTGTATGTATACCTGACTTTCAAGAAAAGTTATAACAATTTCTCAAAAATTATCTCTCATTATTCTGGTATGGAGTATATGACGAGCTAATGCGTTTCCCATGCTAATACACTTCCGGTGACCATTTTTTTCCATTTTATATGGTTCCTTTTAAAGCATCGATGTTGTAATGTAATTCAAATACAATCAGTTAAACAGACTTTGGCATCCATTTAGTTGCTCAAGTGTATAACGAGACAAAAAGCCGTTTGCTCGCACGCACCCGTCAGAATCGGCAGGTTAGCGCAGAAGCTCCATTGAATATACTGGGGTAAAATAAATGCTCATATTATAAAGACATGGCGGGGAAAATGTAATTTAATGCAGTGCTTCTTGTACAATCTAAGTCCCACTTTATATCGGATATCCCTCAGCCAGTGAAGATTGCTGATTTTTGAAGAAAACAGACCTTAAGCGCGGAGATTTTGCAATGGCATACAGTTCACCGAAGACTATTAACCCAGGTTACTGGCAAATTAAAAGTCCTATTAGCATGCTTCGGTATATACCCTATTAAGCATAACAGAAACAAATGTGATAATCCTAACTTACCTAAAAAAGAAAGTTTAGTCACATTAACATCTGACTTTGTTTTTTAAATGGTTATGTGCCTTGTTATACAGTGTAAAACGTCTGGTTTCAACTGTATATGCAATAAAATGTCAACTGGCTATCATTAGAATATGTCTGGGTGAATAATGTTTTATTTGTTAGAAAATCTACTGACTAAAAGTAACTATAGTTAACTTACTGTCTGTTAGTACTTGGAGACCATCAAAGTATAATGTTAGCAGATATTAAGGGATAGTTTACTCAATAATATAAAATTGCTTACCAAAGCTTTCCAAACCTTTTTACATTTAATTTTTTTCTATTTAACAAAAAAGGAAAATATTTCAAAGAACAGTATAAACCGCTTGCTATTATTATTACATCCATAGTGGGAAAAGCAAATAATATGGATGTCAATGAATATTGTTTTCAGAAATGGTGAGTAAATGATGACAGCCTTTTAGTTTTTGGGTAAGCTATCCCTTTAAGAAGAATATTATGAATATAACTGTTAGTTAACATAATGTAAAATATAGGTCACCTGGCATTAAGACAAATTTATGTTATCATATCACTAGGAAATTAGACTAAATACAGGTGTAAATATGGACTAGATGTTTTAACTTGTATGCTTTGACCACTTCTAGACGTACAGTAGTTCAGTTGGAATTTTTTTTTATCATTATTATTATTTAAATGGTAGAATGTGTATGTGTGTGTGTGTGAGTGTATATATATATATATATATATATATATATATATATATATATATATATATATATCAACTTACATCAATCAAACTGACTAAAATATTAAGTTAAACTTTGTAAAACTTTTTTTAAAAATTGTTGAGACCTAATTAAAGCACTATAAAAATAATTATTGTCTTGACTTTGTCATTACACTAAAAAAACGCTGGTTTCATACTATCAGTTTGTGTTGGGACAACATGAAGGAATAAGTTAACCTGTAGGTTTTTATACATTTAAGTGGATTGACCATAAAACAATAAAGTTGTCACAAAAACCCTCAAGTTTTGTGTTGTTTCAGCTCATTTTAATTTGCGAACATCATTTTTTGGGTGCATATTTTTTTAGTGTAGGGCCATAGGCTACAGAATGTCTCAAGTAAAGTAACCATAGTTGAAGCTTTCCCATGTTTTATCCTTTATTCAAGTCAAATTCGTTTCACCTACAGATTTTACTCTTCATGGTATATTTTGATTACATATGAATCCAGGCCTTGATCCTTTGCGTGAGAGTCTCCATGATGTTTCGCTCATTGCCACAAAGCACTTCATCTCATGTTTTTTTTTTTTTTTTTTTAAATATCTACTAGAGGCCAGCAGTAATATTGAGCGGTAGCCTTCATCAGGGAGAGTTTGCTTGTGTTTATTTGCAGTGTAACACGGATTGCGTTTGTTTATTCTGGCAGCGCTCCAGAGACTCGACGATGAAGATGGAGGATGAATGAGGATTTACTGACCTTATGGCAATCATGTCGGCCCACAATCGCACAAAAGCCACTTGTGGCCCAAACGCCTCCAGAATGTACGTGTAATGACCACCAGACTTTTTAATGCAGGTACCCAGCTCAGCATACGATAAAGCTCCTGAAATGGACAAAGGAAAGAACTAGTCAGGAAAAAAATGAATGCCTTACTTTAGCAAAATGAGGTGATAGTGTCTGGACAATGGCCAGTGCTGGAAAGTGAGTGCATGACTATTCAGAAAGGTGGAAAGAATTTTACAACACCTGCAAAGCAACCCTAAAGGCACATGGTTAAGTCAGTTCATTACCACCATCTGTTCGCTCTCTGAGAGGTCAAGCTCTTTACAGCTCTATGCATTTTAATGTTTTAACGAATGCTCGGAATCAAAGCCCTTCTTCTCTCGCAGCCCTTGACTCCTGTGAGCTTCAAAACGCAAATGTAAAGAGAGCTCTAAAATACATGAAGAGTTCACAATGCAGATCTGAAGTCTCTCCGAGAGAAATAGTGGATGAATGGACAGTTTTTTTTTTTTTTCTGAACGGCGGCTCGGCTTTTCCTCAAAGCCTGCGGGCTGCTGCACACAAAGGAAAGCTGACAAGTGTGAAATGACTCCTGACATACACATGAATAAACACACTGTCAAACAATGCTCTTCTTATACACAAACTAATTCTTCTCCGACACCCGTCAGCCTTCGCGGTGTCAGACTGTGCTCTCCTCAGCATCAAAGTGCAGCGTAAGACAATATCGGCCTCCATCAAGCACGGATGCACACATTACGCGTTAGAGAGGTCATGAGTCAAGGTTCTTCATGCATAAACCGGGTTTCTTTCTTAGTGACTATCAGCAAAACCTGGAGTCTTTAGTAATGAATTTATTTTTTTAACTCTTGTGTGCTGTTGGGGATGTTTTCATCAACTCTGGGGGGATTTTGAGTCTTAATTTGGCCACCATTTTTTTCTGTGTTTCAGCAAATGGAATGCTTTTTTGTGACGTCTTATTTTGACACCCATTGGGGAAAATGCTTTGAAAATGTAAAAAAAAAAATCCAACAAAACACTCAAATTTACTATTTTATTATGTCGGTGGCTGTTTTTGCCCCATTGACTTCCATTCTAATGACATTTTTGGATTGCAAAGCCATACAATCATGCATTTTTAAATTTATTACTTGCATAAAGTGTACAAACTAGTAACTAAAAAGTAAAAACCTGTATCTTTTGAAAAGGAGACACCCTAATGACATCTTTATTTAATATACTTTAATTATCTGTAGTGCATGTACAGTGCTCAGCATATACAGTATGCAAACACCCTTACAAATCTCTCACTTAAATTAATATTTTATATAGGAATCTTCACAATATTACAATTGTGCTTATTTATTAGTTTAGCCACAACTGAAGCCATATCTGGAGCTAATCTAACAAAATAACTTGTAATGGTGCAAAAACATGTGTACACCCATTTTTAAATGTTAGGGGAAAATAAAAAACATAATTTTCAAAAATAGCACAAATGAAGTGCAACAAAAGATATATAAATATTAGTTGAAATGTTGTAGTTTGTATTTTCTGCATTATTTTGCATGAATTTAAATGTCGTGTCTTTCCATTTCCAAAGATGTTCTCTGACTAAAATATTATTTTAATAAAAATATCTATTTAATAAATACGTTTTGTTTAATTGCACCAATATATATTATGCAAATTCAATGAGAAAAAAAAATAAATTTCAAAATGGAGTGTACTCATATATGCTGAGCACTGTATATGTAGAAATTAACTATGAATATATGCATACACTAATATATACACATATACAAACAATATAAAAAAATGGAATATTTTAACACATGGTTGCCCATTAATTATCATTCACCCATATTTGTGGTTCGCATGTGTTTTCCATGTATTTATCCTTTCAACTTATTTATGTATTTATCCTTGCATTTTTAAGCTATTGATTTCTGAGCTGACAGGAGTACAATATTACAATAATAAAATAACAGAAAGATATGCTGTTACATACAATTTATTGTTTTAAACTACTAAAATGGTCAATAATGTCACATTAACCAATTTTATTTGACATAAAGGATTGCTAGTAAGCAGAAAAGTATACGTTATTATTATTATTATTATTATTATTATTATTATTAATATTATTATCATCATCATCATCATCATTATTATTATAGATGATATATGACAAATTATATTTTATGACTTGTCGGTGGGAGTTTTTAAACTTGACTTTGGGGAAATGATTAATATGACTCAGAGTTGCCTAATTTGTCTATGTAATTTTGCAATGTAAGCAATGAGCACCTTATCCAAGACATTGATTACATTTACTTTTTGGACACACAGCTTTGTCCTCAGTACTGTAATTCAAAATAGACATTCTCATTCTTCTAAATGTGATATCAGTCATTTAGTTAATCCCGTGATTAAATAAATAAGTAAATAAGAGCATATACAGTAAAAGTAAGAATCATTAGCCCTCCTAAATAATTTGCCCTTCCTATAAATAAAATAAATAAATAAATCAATATATAAAATAAATAAATCCTCCCTAAAATATTTTTTTTTCACCAATTTCTGTTTTTTTTCAGAAACATTTCTAAACATAATAGTTTGTCTTATACTGTATAGACAATCTGAAAAACAAACATTGCTTAAGGAGGCTAATATTGACCTTAAAATGATTTTTTTTTTTTTTAAATAAAAGCTGCTTTTATTCTAGCCAAAACAAAACAAGTAAAGTTTCCCCAGAAGAAAAAAATATTATAGGAAATACTGTGACAAATTCCTTTGTTTTGATAAACACCATTTGGCAAATGTTTGAAAAAGAGAAAAAGAAAATCACAGGATGCATAATAATATTGACATCAACTGTATGTTGATATTCATTATAGTTATTGTGTGTGTGATCATGGCAATTTTTAAAGATTATTATTATTCTTATTATTTATTCTTATTGTTTATTTTTATTTCTTTGTGAATAAAAACCTAAATTTCTCTGTTCCTCACACTATGCAACTATAAAAGTGCTTCAGAAGAGTTTGATCACACTTTTTTTGTCATTTTTTGTCAGCCTGTTGTCTACATTTACTTTCATTGTGTGGAAGAGAACAGCTGAGACCTGCAGAGGTTATTTATTATTGTGCTTTAGAAAACTGTTTGGAATGTCACAAGGCCAGATAAATGATAATAGAATATTAGTAATAGAGTCAACGAAGGCCATGTACATTGAGTAGCCAAATTCACAACTGAACCAATTCACGGAAACTTCAGGTTTTTACTCAGTGTGTGTGGAACACAGTGTTAATAATGTTTTTAAACATTTATCATTGATATGTCTGTCTTCTTTATGTGCGATTGGGGAAACACATACAAACCTTGACTTATTCACGTTGCCAGATCTTGCTAAAAAAGAAAAATGGAACGGGAATAAGTCTATAATAAAGGTTTATAAATACAAACACCTTATATTGTATTTAAGACAGGAATGTTGTGATGTGACTCAAAAGTCCCACTTTAATGATATATTTTAATAACTTGATTGCTTATTGGGCTAAACACAAAAGTGCTTATAATTAATGGAGGTGGAGACTGTAAAGACTGTACTTATCATTAAAGTTCATTTATTTATTTATTTATTTATTTATTTATTTATTTATTTATTTTTTATAATGTTCATTTAAAACAAGAAAAAAAGATTTTAGTTTCATGTTTTAGGTTTAAGGTTTAATTAACAATAATGATCCTGGTTTAGATCCTGGTTACAGTTTAGATCCAATCCCAAACAAGTCATTGGTCATTGTAACTTTACTTGGTGCAATAATAAAAAAAATTAAAAAACTATTTGACCCATTTAATTTATACTATAGCACTATTTATTTATTTATTTATTTATTTATTTAATCTAAAGCAAGAAAAAAGCTATTGGTTTCATTGTTTAGGTTTAATTAGCAATAATGACCCTGGGCTACAGATGTCACAATGGAGATGTGAAAACGGATCCAAATGCAGGGTTTAATAACACGAATGGTCAGGCAAGCAACGGTCACATTCAGGAGCAAACAGATGTATGTAGGAAAATCAAGTGTCATAGTTGAATACACAGGCAGATGGTCAAAAGACAGGCAGCAGGCAATGTAAACAAACAAACAAACAAACAAGGCTAGGGTCAAAACCACTGCAGGACAAGGCAAGGAAAACATGTCTTAATGTTAACTAGACAGATCAACACAACTCAGCAATGAGGGTGTCAGAGTCAGCTGTATATATGTGAGAGCAATCAGTCAATGAGCAGCTTCAGCTGTGTGGGTCTAATCAATGGGAATCTGGAAGAAGTGTGAGTGTGTGGTGCATGACTGGATTTGTAGTTCTATGTGATCTGTGATCTGTGTTTACCAGCGATCTGCTGGATTTAGATTTGATTGGATTAGATTGCTGGCGATTGTGACAACAGATTAGATTCAATTTCAAACAAGCCATTGGTCATTGTAACTTTATTTGTTACAAAAAACATCTTCAAGATTTGAACCATTTATTCTATAACACTTATTTATTTATTTATTTATTTATTTATTTATTTATTTATTTATTTATTTATTTATTTATTTATTTATTTATTTATTTATTTATATATTTATTTATTTATTTATTTTTCTTTCTTTCTTTCTTATTTATTTAATATTTAATTATGTATTTATTTAATATTTCTTTATGTATTTATTATTTTATTTTATTTTAATTAATTTGTTTGTTTATTTATTCATTTATTATGTTTTGCATTTTTATATATTTTCCTTTAATTTTAAGTGTACAATGTTTTGTTGTTTTAGTAAGTTATATTGGTTGTTGAGAGATAATTTAAGGCATTCACACCAGCGTTTAAATCCTGTATGATGAAACGCTGTGTGTGCGTGGCTTCAAGAACACTCATCTTCCTGTTAGTAAAGTGATGTGTCCTAATGTATAGCTATGACGTTAGAGGTGCTGTGAGGTAAACCCCAGTTTCAAAACCACAAACAAAAGGCTAAGTCAGCATCAGTACAATTCCTCAAATTCTAATTAAAATGCAACTGTGGGTTCTATCAGAAGCCGATTGTTCCAGACGAGTGGGTGAAATATTTAGGCCATTTATTGAAGTTTGCAATATGTGTGGAAAACAATACGAGAGCATGTGCACATTAAAGGGATAGTTCTCCAAAAATACTGGAAATTTTGTCAGTTTACTCGCTCTTTACTTGTCTGACAGTCTTTCTTCGGTTAAACACAGAAGAAGATATTTTGAAAAATGTAACCTGTAACTATTTTTTTCTGTATTTAATTTTTTCTTTTATGAAAGTTAATGGTTTTCAGCTTTTTTTTTTTTTTTTTATATATATATTTAGTGTTTAAAAGAAGAATGAAAGTCATAAAAGATTTGGAATCACTTGATGGTGAGTAAATAGTAAGTAAAGTTTAATGTTTGGTTAAACTATCTCTTTAAAACGCACAAGCTTGAATATGCTGAACAAAATGATTCATTAAATGCACTCAATTTTTTAAAGGTAAGTGGTGGCAAACACTTTATATGGGCTGAATTTAAACAAACCAATTAAATGCAGTAATGTTCAATGTAATGTGTGTATTTAAATTCAACTCGTATAAATTGTTTGCATCCACTTACCTTAAAAAATGTAGTAAATCCAATGAAACATCAGTGCATGTACTATATCTGTGTATTTGACACTCACCAAAAAGAGACAGAATCCCACATGCGACCCACACCACCAGTGACATTCCCACACTGCCCGAGTTCTGCAATATCCCCTTGGGAGAGATGAATATTCCTGCTCCAATGATCGTCCCGATGATGATGGAGATTCCTCGGAGCAGGGTCACCTTCTTCCGAAGCTCCACTTTCTCCTTCGGGGGCTCTCCATTTAATTTGAGAGGCTCTTTTTCTCCAAAATTACTCGGAGTTGGATCCCCATTGGGATGGGGAGCTGACACAGTCCTTCTGGGCATCTTGTTCGCTCACTCAGTAGCACACACACACATTGACTCTCAGTGCCACATGAGAGGCCTGACTGGAAGGTGTTCTCACAGCTCAAAGTAAAGCAAACTGATACGCTGTGACAAGTCTAAACAAATACAATGTGAAGTGGCTTCTCCCTCCTCTTTTTTTGGTGTCTCCCTCTTTCACTGGGCTTTTTAATGTCTCAAACACTCCCCTTTCCTCTGCTTTATTGTTCCTCTTTTTATGTTGTCCTGTAATTTACAGTGCAATGTGTGTGAAGGAAGGGGGCGTTTCTTATTGTGGTTCGTTTACCCAGAGTCATGATGCTTCAGCAATAGTATCCCATTCTCACCTTTCCTCATGTGACATGCATATCACACACAAAGACATCCGGCGCTCATTTTACACACTCACTGTTTTCTTTAGTTCTTTCAAAGGCCTGTTGCACTTGTTACAGACGTGTTCTGATTAGCAAGTGAGCGGCGGATGGGAGACTGATAACAAACTCTTGTTTTTCAGGATTGCAGAACTTCTTTTTTGCATACTTAATGTTGACACAGGGAATGAAACTGAATCTAGGTCAAAAGACGTGGTGGCGATGGTTACTGTATGTGTGTGTGTGTGTGTGTGTGCAGACAAAGCCATTCCAGTCAAGCCTGATACAGTGTTCTGTAAATAAGACGGAGGCAGGCTGATGTAACATTACATCAGATCAGCCCTGGCAGCGTTGTAAAATCCGGTGTTGTAAAATCATGACTTGTGTAAGTTTTTTTTAGGAACATACATAGCCCAATTTTTTAGACCCGGACAGCAAAATATGTTTGACTCAGTATTTACTATTGGAGTCATTATGATGCATTATGATGTGCGAAAACTGATGACTCATTGCTACAATTTTATAATTTTTCCTGTGTAATCTATTAATTTACTACTTCCTTTAATTAATCTACTATCAAATTCAACTTTATATATATATATGTGTATATATATACACACACACACACACCGGCCACTTTATTAGGTACATCTCTCCTCATTAACGCAAATTTCTATTCAGTCAGTCACATGGGAGCAACTCAATGTATTTATGCATGTAGACATGGTCAAAACAATCTGCTGCAGTTCAAACCGAGCATCAGAATGGGGAAGAAAGATGAGGTCCAACTTTATATAAAGTTGCCTTAACTAATATGTACTTACATAGGAGTTAATAGTTTGTTACAATGTACAGTACTTATTGTGTAAATACATGTATTTACTGTGTACTTATGCTTGATTAAATACATGTATGTAATTACATCTGTAATTAACTTTTGTAATTACATTTGTAAATAGACTGTTGACCATCCCTTACACCTTAACCCACCCTTAAACCTACCCATGCCACCAAACCTGTCCATAACCCAACCTCTATTCCAACTCAAAAGCACCACAAGTGTTCTCAAATACATTATAAACACAGTAAGTACATTGTATTTATTTTTTTGATGTAAGTACGTAGTAGTTAGAGACACTTAATATAAAGTGGGACCAAAGATGATTTAAGTGACTTTGAATGTGGCATGGTTGTTGGTGCCAGACAGTCTGATCTGAGTATTTTAGAAAGTGCTGATCTACTGGGATTTTCACTCACAACTATCTCTAGGGTTTACAGAGAATGTTTCGAAAAAGAGAAAATATTCAATGAGCGGCAGTTGTGTGGGCGCAAATGCCTTGTTGATGTCAGAGGAGAATGGTCAGACTGGTTCCAGCTGATAGAAAGGCAACAGTAACTAAAATAACCACTCGTTACTATCGTCGAACCTCGAGGCGGATGGGCTACAGCAGCAGAAGACTATTTCCGGGTGCCACTCCTGTCAGCTAAGAATGGGAAACTGAGGCTACAATTCACACAGGCTCACCCAAATTGAACAATAGAAGATTGTAAAAAAAAACGTTGCCTGATTTGCTGAGTCTCGTTTTCTGCTGTGACATTCGGATGGTAGGGTCAGAATGTGGCATCAACAACATGAAATTATGGATCCATCCTGCCTTGTATCAACGGTTCAAGCTGGTGGTGGTGGTGTAATGGTGTAGGGGAGCATTGAGCATTGGTATTGCTGACCTTGTCTAACTGTTTATGACCACAGTGTACCCATATTTTGATGGCTACTTCCAGCAGGATAACACAATCCAATAGAGCACCTTTGGGATGTGGTGGAATGGGAAATACGCATCATGGATTTGCAGCCGACAAATCTACAGCAACTGCGTGATGCTATCATGTCAATATGGATGAAAATCTCTGAGGAATATTTCCAGTACCTTGTTAAATCTACGCCAAAGCTAAAAGAGGGTCCAAACCAGTACTAGTAAGGTATACCTAATAAAGTGGCCAATGTGTGTGTATATTGAAAGGTTTTTTTTCCTGTCAACTTATGAAGTGCACTTTTTAAGCTTTAGTTAATCTCAAAGTAAATATCAGTAATAGACCAGGGTTAATCCGTCAAATATTGCTTTCTATAAAAACTATAAAAATAAATATAATATTTTGAAAAGATGACACCTTTTTTGTTATTTTATCCAATAAAAAAGTCGGCATGACAACATTTGTATTGTGTTGTCGCCAGTAGTTTAAAGAGAGAGATGGAAACCACAAAAAGACACCATGAAAGTAAATAAATAAATACATCTTATACAGTCCCAGAACAATTTTGAACAACTGACCCCAAAAACATGCCCTCGGTAAGTCCTTGAACTTGTTTGATGTGCTGGTAAGAGGAAAGCAAGAACGATATTCTCAAGAAAACATCTCTCCTGCACAGTCCAATAAACTATAATACGATGAGGGAGGAGAAGAGATCATCATGGGACAGAAAGAGTCAACAGAATAAGAACATGTATCATGATTTCAAATCTCTATCTGTAAGATAAAAGCTGCACATTTCTAACAGTATGCAACAACAGCGTGACATAGAGGTGTTCCCATACTGTGTGCATGCATCTTAATGTGTTTGGCTTATTTTTTACTTTAAAGGAATGCCTTTCTTACTTGAGGTGTGTGTCTTGTTTCTAGTCCAAATATCTAAAAATACTTCAATCAAGAAGCAAGTACTAGTACTAGACGAGTATAACATGTTGTTTTCTTATTAGAAATAATACGTCAAAATGAAGTAATTTTTGACCCTTAAAACAACCTAAAATATCTGCCAGTGAGCTAAATAGTCTAATTTTAAACTGAAAACAAGATTATTTCATTATGTCATTGGCAGATCATTTATCATTTTTTAAAGAATTTTGACTTATTATTTCTAAAAACAAAACAAAAGTCGTTTACTTAAATTCTAGATATAATTCTAGAAATTGCTTTTTGACTTTAAGGCAATTTGGCAGCACTTTGGCTCAGGGGTTAGCACTGTCGCCTCACAGCAAGAAAGTTGCTGGGTCTAGACTGCAGCTCCGCACAATAAGTTTGGCCAGAGCAGAAATGGTTGTGCCCAACTGAGCCTGGTTTCTCTCAAGGTTTTTTTTTTCCCCTTACTTTTGTCAATTGGTGAAGTTTGTTCCTCGCCGCTGTCGCCACTGGCTTGCATGGTTCAGGACTTGTGGAGCTGCGCATCGATTGATTTGCTCTTCAGTGCTTGGACTTTCAGCAGTGAAAATTAAACCACACAGAACTGAACTAAACTCAACTTAAACTCTGAAAACTGGACTGATGCAGTTTTAATTTACTATAATGTTATATGTTTAGCTGCTTTGACGCAATCTACATTGTAAAAGCTGTACAGAAATTAAGATGAAATTAATTGAACTGAATTTTTCTCCCGGTGTTTGCGCTGGTTGCCTCCCAGTGCTCCGGTTTCCCCCACAGTCCAAAGACATGCTCTATAGGGGAATTGAATCGACTTGAATTGGCCATAATGTATGAGTATGTGTGACTGTGAAAGTATACAGGTGTTTCCCAGTACTGGCTTTCCCAGTACGAGTGGAAGGGCATCCGCTGTTTAAAATACATGCTGGAATTGTTGGTGGTTCATTCCACTGTGATGACCTCTGAAATAGAGACTAAACAGAAGAAAAATAAACTAATAAATATAAAAAAAAATTAAGCAAGTTTTTCCCTTAAAACAAGCTCAATTATTTGCCAGTGGGTTAAATAATCTTATTTCAAACCAAAAACAAGATTATTTTATATTATTATTTTATTTTATTTTATTTCTTTTTTGTATGTGGCAGATGGCGTTTCAGCCACAACCCAGTACTGAGAGTAATGAAATAAATGAAAAATAATGCAATAGAATTGCCTTAATAATGTGTTGATAAAACAAACTCATTGTTTTTTCTTATATCTTTAGATTCTATTAAATGTGTAATTGTATTTATTGTAATTTCTTTTTATAATTCTGCTTTTTGTATTAATATTTTATGTAAGGCACTTAGGGTCTGAGAGTAATGCAAGTTTGATTGTCCGTATGTCCTGTACATGTGGTTGAATTGACAATATAACTGACTTCCACTTGACTTGACTTTGACTTTGATATGATACATCATTCTAAGTATTTTGAATCACTTTTATAGTAGTATAGATTTTTTTTAATATATTTTGTTCCCAACTTTCTCTTTTAATATATTTAAATAAGGGTTAAACAACACAAGGGTGAACTTTCATTTCATTTTTTTTTTTTTTTCCGAGTGAACTTCTCCTCCCTTCAATATAAGTTTCTTTATGGATTATATTTGCAATTATTAGTGCAGCAAAGCCCTTGTAACGGCCTCCGAAAAGTAAGCCAGAGGATGCGGTCCACATATTAAGGTATCCTTCATCTGTATTTCAGGCTGGCTGCAGGGCAGAAATGTGAAGGAGGTTAAGTGAACGTCTCTCTGTAGCATCATTCAGAGATGAGAGGCAGAAGCAAGTGAGGGATCAAGCCCATCTTCTCCCTGAATACGGTGGAATCTGCCTATATAAAGGAGGCCCCAGGCATGTATCCAAACATCCTTTAATCTCTCTTTCTCTCTCTTTCTCTATGTGTGTGTGCGCTGCGTGTCAGACTGTGTTTTCAGCTTGAGCAGTGAGGCCTAAGGGAAGGCCTGTGGGAAAGTTATCTCCTTCTTTTCTGCACTCATCCGTTCTACCAGAAGCTTTGACCAGACTAACTAAACTGAAGTTAATGATCAGGAACACTCCAGGATATATTGCAACAAGGAGTTCATCAAGTTCCATAATGATGTCAGAAGCCCATTGCCAGAGCAAACTGGTGTGCACTTTGGCAGTAAAATCGTAGTCGCAGGACTTCAGAATGAATCTGAAGTGATCACAAGTGGAGTAAAAAAACAGCAAATATTGCAACATTTTGCATTTTAGACTTGACAAAAATTGCTGTCTTATTAGGCATCATCTTGCAAAACAAAGTGTACCTATACTGTAAGAGCCATGATGTCTGATTCAAAATCAAATGATCTGTGAGTCAAAGGATTCATTAATTTAGTTTAAATTAGGCTTAGTGGGTCAATAAGAGTTTTTTTTTTATTATTAAAATTTGTGAGACTGATTAAATAGTCATCATCAAATGACTTATGACTCACTAGTACA